CTGTGCCGCTGAGCTAAATCCCCAGCCTGACTTTGAAGATAACAATAATACAACAACCATTGTTGATTTCCTATCATCTTGTTTTGAAATTTTATATTGTTTTAAAAGTTTTTGTGTTGTTTCGTTTTTGTCTTTGTTATTTTGTTTTTGTTCTTTTCTCTTTAAAATAAAATTTTAAAAAAGTTATGAGGTGGATATGGGGGTAGGGTAAGAACTGTACTACTAAGAGGTGACTCAGAGTCATTTTAAGTGCAGAAATGAGTAATCCTAGAAAAATAAAAAGTCCAAGATCCAATGCATATGTTTTGTGACAAAGATAATGAGTGTAAAGAATGTATTTCTGTGACTCCTGCTGGTTTTAACTGTGTTGATTTTCTGAGTAATTCAAGGGAGCATCTTCTAAGAATCTAGTGTGGATCATATTTTATTACAGCTGAATTTATGTCAGAAATTTTTATTTGTTTTGTGTTAGACTGTTCTCAGCCCCCTTCCTTCATTACCAATCTGTGTTATTTTATTCATGCAGATTGATAATCTTGCAGCAAAACTGGAAACTACATCTTCTAAATGTCTACATCTGGATAAAAATAATCAATTTCTCCACCAGGAGTTATTATCTCTGAAAAATATACAAAAGAAATGTGAAACACTAGAGAAGAATAAAAGAAAGCTGGAACAAGAAGTAGTAAACCTCAAAAGATACATAGAAGAAAATGTGGTAGAACATGGCCAACTACAACAGTATAAGCAGGAGATTGAAGAAAGAGCAAGACAAGATTTAGTGGAAAAATTAAAACAAGTCAATTTATTTTTACAGGTTAATTTATTTATCTTTAATGTACTTAAACCATTTCATTGGAAATTATATTTTGGATGTTTACATTGTATACATTTCTTCTGCTTCCCTTATAACTTTTGTCTTTTAGTTCCTTTCTAGAAGGAAGATGACATCTTGTGTCTTCCATTAAATATTTCTGTTTCATTATAACTAAATTGATCTTTCAGAATAATGATATTTACTTGAGAATGATTTGATTTTTAAGACTAATGGACATAAAACTGTTAAGAGCAAAATAAAACTTATGGTGCAGCAATTATACAATACTCTTGAATTGTTGTTACCTTGTCCAGTTTTTAAATTTTTGAATTGTTTATATTCTTTGATCAGATTACATGAGTAATAAGAGTGATTCAGAGCTAAAGTTGGAACTCAGTGGTGGGGTGCTCGTCTAGCACTGGCTTGGATCCTA